GTGCCGGTTAGTACCTGTTTATTTTCCTCTTGTGGAATGCTTGTGAAGGTGGCTCTGCAACTGGAGTGGAAGAGGTTACTGCTGAGACAACTGGCAAAACACCTGCTGGTGTTGCAGGAGGGGCAGCGAGAAGGTGAACGTTTATTAAGAATTTTTTCAGTTCAATTTTTAGTAGGTGGTTGATTTTTAGTAGTGAGAGTAAAGGCTTTGGGTTTTTTTGCTCTGTGATGTCGCTTTTCATATGATACGTGGAAGGAGTCTTGAGTTAGTCAAATTTTTATGATTTATAGTCTGGGTAAAATAATTGTTGCAAAATATAGGCTTTTTTGCTGTGGTCGTGGAGTTGGAATGGTGAACGTTTAAGTATAGCTTTTCCATGTTAATAGAACCTTGCTAGCGTTTTAATAATGTCTTGGTGAAAGTAGCCTTGGGGAAGCAGGAGAGTTTCTTGATAAGAAGATGCTACCGCTGAGTTAGAGCGGTTTTTTTTTTCATTTTAAGTTTCGCCACTGCTTTGAATACTTTGAAGCAGCAAATGTTCGTGCTCGAGCTAAAGCCATTAAGAACTACGTTTATGGAGGAAAAAGCTATTGGAGTTGCGAGTTTGGTTGAACGGAAAAAGCTGAAAACTGAAGGCAACGCAACATTTTCCATGAAGTGAAAATATAAATATTCTCTACTCGAAGCAGAACACATCAGATTTTGTTTATGAGAACGGCATCGTCAATGTTGTGCTGTTTTCAGTTTTTAGCTTTTTCTGTTCCTTTTTTCGTAAAGGTAATTTTTTATTGCTTTCAATTCGCACTTATTGCGTTTTGGTTTAGTTTGGCAAAGCTTGAATATCTGTGATGAGGAACTTGGAATTGCTGACTGGCTGAGTTTTGGTTAGTTTAGTTTTTGATCTTTATAAAAAGACTTGCGTCGTGGTCAGACCTTGTAATAAACAGAAATTTTTGGCGGGAATTGGTTATGTCATTTTATTTGTTTTCAGAAGACTATGGGCGGATAGTTTCCAGGATGGAACAGTTTAGAATTGGGTCGTTTTATGGACTTGATCAAATTGCTAAGCAAGCTTGCAGTAAGTGTGGAAGAAGAAGAATGTATTTCTGTTATGACTGCCGAAGGTATATGCCTTCGGTGTTTGAACTAGCTCCACTTGTTGAGGTTTTTATGTTAATCCTTTATTGTTTTGAAGTGCCGGTTCGTTTCTTCGGGTGATGAATCATTCTTTTTCCTTTTCAGTTGCCTGTGAAAATAGACATCATCAAGCACAAAAAAGAAAAGAATAGCAAAAGCACAGCTGTGCAATGTCTTCTTTTAGCTCCTTTTTCGACTACTGTGTATGACGCACCAACTCTTCCTGATTATGATGGAACAATTGACGAAAAAGTGGTGAGGGTAGTATTGAAGGTCAATGAATTAGTCATATTTAAGCGAGCTCCTACAACTCTAGTGGAATTTGGTAGCATCGTTATGGCAGCTGCCGCAGATGACTGAATTCGATATTTGGTTCTTACTCTCAAAATAGTATATAATAAATAGTATAAAATATTTCTTTAGGCTATTGTATATCCTTCACCTGAAGCAAAACACATAGCAGATTTTATTCGTGAGAACGGCAGTATTGATCGTTTTGTTTTTCCGGACGCCACTTGGTTTCAGGTAAATGGTTCTACATATTTTCAATTTCCCACGTTGAAAATTTCATAAGCATCCCATTTTACATTTTCTTTGCGCGAAATTTAGGTTGGTGGTCTCCTCTCATTACAGCAGTTGCAAAAATTACCTCAAGTCAGGTTAAAGTCATACAAAACTTTGTATTGGAGACCTCAGGTACTACTTCAAAGCAGTGATTTACTCTAGCAGAGAAACAAATAAAACTCAGATTTTACACAACTTTTATTATACGATAACGCAGAATCACTTTTCTACCGCATTACTCATGTTTAGGATTTTATGAAAATAATTTTTCAGGGCACTGTTAAAAGGCACAGCTTCTGTTAATATTGATTTTTCAGAAAGGTTGTTCAGACGAGTACTTGGCAACTGTAGAAGCAGTGTATTACGCAGTTCGTGAAAATTATGAGGTCGTGAACTCAACGCCGTATGATGGCCGATTTGACAACCTTTTGTTTTGGTTTCTCTATTTTAGGAAAATGGTGGGTAACAGCCATACCAAAAAGAAATGGGACTTGCAGAAGGGATTAAACGACAAATAAAGTCTTCATTAAGATGTTTCTTTCTTATAAGTAGCTGTCTCTTGACGTCGGTGGTGAAAATAGAAAAGTATTAAAAGACGTGTTTATGCCATTTGTGGGATACAGTTGGTTTGAAAATAATAAAATTCACGCGTATTATTCCTGTTTCCAGTGCAATATTCATCGTAATGCAGAAGCAAACGTAACAAACATCACGTGGAAAGGAGGAAAAGAAATCTGTGTTTTGCCGGTGACTTTCTTATCAACTTAAATCTGCACCTTATCACGTAAAAATTAATAACTTCAGGATCTATACCAAATGCCGTATCTCCTTCAAGATATTGGTTAGCGATTTTGGTTTTTATCGTAAATGTTATCTTCATGAAAATAGTGACGGCGACAGTATGTTGAAATCCATTACTGACAGTTGAAGGATTGGCGGTGATAGAATATTTGGAGAAAGTATGTTTCCGCTCAAGATTGATAGAGATAGTACGTCTACATTACCGATGTATGGACTGAGCAAACCGGGCGAAAGGAACTCGACTGATAAGATCTGGGGCGAAAAGATACCTGGAAAGTTAAACAGAGTCAAAAGATTTATGCGCATGGGCAGGTTAGTAGATTCAACGCCTTTTTGGGTTATCAGTGTTGTCGATTCTTTAGCCGCTTGCCAATAATGGCTGTATATGGTAAAGCTGAAAAGTTAGAGTATTTGGCGACTGGATTAGATAAGCTAACGCGGCCCTCTTCGCTTGTAAGATAACACGCGCAAAGGAACGGTGTTGACATTCTTTATTAATGGCGCTGCTAATTAGCGGTGTTTTCTGCCACTTCTGATACATCTGTTGTACTCAGTTTCACTTCTAATGCGCTAGCTCTCCTAAGTAACAAAAAATTTATGATTGCTGGGATGCTGGTAAGGCTTCGGGTTGCTTCTCCGCTAGCTGGGTTTCTTTTGCCGAGTGTCAAGAAAGTGAGAGTCACATGGTATTTCTCGCAATTTTCAGGAAATGCTTTTCTACTTTTCCACAGTAAAAAGCAAAGGCTTATTCTAGCTTTTGGTAAAACTTGGCAGTTTTGTGAGTCATTTTGTGACTGCTTGGACGGTGTCATTAAAGAGGAGTGAATTTGACTACTTTTTTAAATCTCGAGCTAAACTGTGCTCTTTCTGTCATTCACTAAGCAACTGTTTGTCTGTGCCAGTAACCAATGGAAAAATCAGCGACTATTTTTTTCACCAAGGTTCTTTCCGTATTCAACTTATGTACTTCAGCGTTTGAGGCGAATAAAGTTCATAAGTTGTAAGTCCAGTAACCACCAGCACACAAATACAGTCGCATAGGGCGACGAAGAACAGTGAGAATAAACTGCATCTAAAAATCTCAAGACATGGAAAATCGTGTTTTTAATCGGGAACTCTGACGCCTGGATACTTGCTATTTAATTCTTTCAAGAAAAAATCAGTTTTTTTTTACAATATTTAATGTAGTTTTTTTATTTTTTGACATCCATTTTAAAAAGTAATAACCATTTCGCAAAGCATGCTGAATAGCGACCGCATGTAAAACACTAGCGCGCGACTGAGCTTTACCCTGAGGATAAACTCCTAGAGTTATAAGCAGCTGCCGACTTCTACTTGTCTGGATATTTGAGCAGAAGAGAAGTCTTTTAAAATTAAAAACTAACTCTGTCACATTTTCCCAAGCCGGCAAAAAAATGGTGAAGAGAGGAAATTTTAAAGATTAGGGGAGAATATGCCGTTATGGTGGTCGAGAATATATCAGTTAGTCGTGGTTCTTGATTATAAGCGGATTCATTTCTAATTTACTGTGAAATTTTTGCAAGCAAAAAAGGCTTTTCATAGAGGGATTCCAGCACTTTCGGCCTGATGCCACTGCGTTGCAGGGATGCACCTGGAGGTTAGCCGACCATCCCTAATAAAGGTTTGCTAAACTTCTGTGTTACATGTTCAAATAACGTATTACCAATGTCATGTTTTTTCGTGTGTTTATTCTCTTTGAATTTCAAATCCCTCACTTTTCCGTTCATTTTCTGTAGAGAGATCAGCAGAAATGTGAAAAGCCCTTTATTTTTAACGGACGTCTTTTAAGTTATTTTCTTTTTTCTAACTTTGCTCATATCAACAGAATTTTTTTTCCGCGATCTACATGAATATGATATAAAAAATATGTAAAGAAAACATAAGGCTCCCCAAACAACCAGATGACAAAACACAGTTTTAAATGAGGAACTCTAGAAATGCAACTCTCAATCGAATGGGAAAACAGTGAAAATAGTGGTGAAAACATAAATAACTTCAAAAAAAGTAACCAATTAAAAAATAAATAAATAAACAAATAAATAACTTAATGAAATAAGAGAATTAGCGTTTATTATTTTTCACATTCTTAGTTCAAAAATAGCCCAATTTGCTATTGAAATTTAAGCAAAAACGTGAAATCATCCTATGAACGCAGGAGGGCCCACATATAATCTTTGTTTGTTTTTATTGAGAGACGACAGGGGGACATCGTATGAAACATTAAGTGAAAAAAATTAGTTGCTCACGCGAAAAACCATTCTACTTGCATCTACAAATAGCAAGTTTTTAAAAAAACTACTTGGGAAACCGCTCCAAAAGGTTTCATTTGTGTTAAAAACACACGAATGAATACATAAAGAGAAAACAAAAAAAATTGTATGTTCTGGAAAAGTTCAGTTTTTAAAGAAATGTAAGAAAATAGCAATTGGGGAAGTCAACCGCAACGTCACACTTCAGCAAATTTCTTGACGACGGCTCCAGAGGTCAATACAGAATAGCAGCAGACAGGTAGCTATCATACTGCGGAAATTAATGATGGCAAAAAAATCCGCATTTTCGGAAATAAACGTGGAAAGCACCGCTCAATTTGAAAGTATGCCAGCATCTTTATAAGTTGACAGTCGATCGCGTCAACGTAATTCTGGTTCAGCTGCGGAAAGATTTTCGCACGAAATCGGAAATGACGCTTATGTATAGGGCAATTCATTTCTAATTTGATGCGAAATTTTTTGCTACCGAAATATCATTTACTATGGCTAAATTTCAGCGCATTTGGCGCAATGCCATTATGTATTGCGGAGACGTCCGGAGATGATCCGGGTGATCTCCGTAAATATATGCTAAACTTCTGAGGAACGTAAGTGATGTTAGAGCTACTATTTAATAAGATCTTCTCTGTTTTTGTTTGCGATTTCACGTTGCATTTTTTATTTTCAGCCGGGATTTTAGCCAAAATATGAGAGTTATTTCAATTTTTACACGTAGTACTTTTTAACAGTTTTATTGCAATAACTTTGTCAAGTGTTCATGCACCTTAGCTTTCTTTTTGGTCTGTAATCTGCATTCAAAGTACTTTAAGAAAATGTAAGAAGGAGGAAAATCAAACTCAAAGGATTTGAGAAAGGTGGCCATGAAATGGCACGACAAAAAAATGCAGTTTTTTAGTAGCTAAGAAAACTTCAAAAAATGCTAGTAAAAAGTAGCGAATACTGAACTAAAACTTGAAGTAATGGTGAGGAGAAAAAGTGAGAATATATTCTATGTCTAGCTAGTTTATACAAAAAGGGAGAAGACTGAAAAAATTAAGATTTCTACAGCTAGAAAGAAAATAAGGCGGATGGAGAGGCCGCAATGTGGTGTTCCTTGGCAGAACTGTATAAGCCGGGTTGTCGAAAAAAAAGAGCTTATCACTTTATAAAACCCTATTACTCGAATAAAAACTTATCATCTATGTAATAAAAACAAGTTTTAATGCGTACTCAGCCGCAGTAGTATTTGACAGTCTCTTTTTTTTTTTTGCTGTACTTAAACATTTTCTTTGTTTTAGACACAAAAAGTACACTAACTATACTGAGCTTAAACTTCTTTTCTAACCAAAAAATCAGATTATTAGAAAAATGTATAATTTATTTTTCTACTTGCAGAATTCAAGAGTGAAAAAAAAAGTTGTAGAAAGAAGGACAAAAGAAAGTTATGTTTAATCGTAAAGTAACAAAACCAGTAAACCAAAAAATTGGACACAATGACACATTTTGGCTAATAAGTCAACGAGGAAACTAAATTCCAAAAAAATTCGATGAGCAGCTTGTTGCTAGAATTTTGACAAACAGAGCAACACTAAGATCACTACAAATTTCCCACAGCAAGACTGCTAAAAACGCTCTGCTACGAACCTAGATCAAGACTTGCCCAGATCGCCAGCTGGCCGTATCAGTGTTATTCTGGCCCCTGCGCGGAAAATATTTCCACACCAAACTGAAAGCGAATTGCCCTGTATACATTTTATACATCGGCCATTTCATGCCGAATGGCACACATTTGAACATCGACCTCTCAGATTTTTTTCGTTTTTTGCTGAGTAGTAGAGTCTCGGCCAGTATAAAAAAAGCCGCGAAGAAATCTTGGAAAAGTGAGTTCCCAGCCAAGTAACATCCCGTCAAACTTTCAAATTTGTTGGGCTGCCGCTTGACATGCCCATCTTCGGGGACTTGTAATTCTGATTGTCTTAAGGAAATTTAATGATTTTTGAACCAAACGTTTTCATTATTTCCTGACCACTTAAATGCGTATTTATTATTTTAATTTTACCGAAAAATCGCAAAGATACAATAGAAACAAAATCTCAAACAAACATAGAAAAAAAATATGTATTTAAATTTTTTAAAAAAGATAAATTTTATGCAGAATTTTCCGCTCTACAAAATATCAAAATTTGGAAACGGCGATTATTCAATATCGACAGTTACGAGCTAGGAAGGAATGTGGAACTGAAAAGAAACCGATCATTTTTACAGTAATCCCATGTATTTTACAGTGGCGAAATCATCCAGAGCCGCTCCTGAAGGCGGGCAACTACAAATATCTTGTATGCTTTGAGCATTGAAAGTTTGCCATCAAAGTTGTACTGTACTTCAATAATACTAGCAAATCATTATCCTGCAGAGTTTTAAAGGGTAGCCTTTACTACAGCCCTTTCTGGTTCTCGTGTTCTATTCTGTCAAAACTATGTAGCTAGTATACATTTTGACGTCGCAAAGAGGTCTAAGAACTCACTACTTTACCAGGGTATCTGTTGGGTTAAGATTTTTCTTAAAACTTTCTGTTTTTGAAGAACTACAGCACATAATTTCATGTCGGGACAACCAGTCAAGCTCCTCTTCGCTTACGCAACCAAAACTTTAACAAGTACGAGATAAAGAAAGTATTAAACACAAGAGGTAGAAACGGCTGGAGAGAAGACTATCTTTTACATCTCTGCGGATTAATAGTTTGCTAATATTATGAAACCAGACCAGAAATTTTTATAAAGATTTTCAACATTTAAAGCATACTGAATATTTCTGGCTGCTGGCTGCGGCCTTAAAAGCGGCTCGGAACAGTATCGTCGCTGTAAAACGCATGGGATTACTGTAAAAATAATGAGTCTCTTTTAGTTTCCCATTCTATTCCGGCTCGTAGCTCTCGATACCGAAGGACCGTTATCTAAAAATTTGGATATTTGTACAGAAAGTGATTCTGCACAAAATTTATCTTTTTCAAAAAAT